CTCTCTCTCTCTCTCTCTCTCTCTCTCTCTCTCTCTCTCTCTCTCTCCTCTCTGCTGGCTGGGGATCCATATGTAGAACTCTCAGCTCCTTCCCCAGCCCCATTGCTGCCTGTATCCTGCCATGCTTCCTGCCATAATGAGAATGCACTGACCTCTGAAACTGTAAGCAAGTTACAGTTAAATGTTTTCTTTAATAAGGTTTGCTATGTTTGTGAGGTCTCTTCACAGCAATAAACTCTGAATAAGACATTTTGTTTTGGGCTGGAGAGATGGCTCAGTGGTTAAGAGTACTGACTGCCCTTCCAGAGGTCCTGAGTTCAATTCCCAGCAACCACATGGTGGCTCACAACCATCTGTAATGGGACCTGATGCCCTCTTCTGGTGTGTCTGAAGATAGCAACAGTGTACTCACATACATAAAATAAATAAATCTAAAAAAAAAAAAAAAGACATTTTGTTTTGTATTTCATGCACAGAAACACCATGATTAATTAGCCACAACCAGGGCTGGAGAGATGGCTCAGTGGTTAAGAGCACCGACTGCTCTTCCAAAGGTCCTGAGTTCAATTCCCAGCAACCACATGGTGGTTCACAACCATCTGTAATGGGATCTGATGCCCTCTTCTAGTGTGTCTGAAAACAGCAACAGTGTACTCATATAAATAAATAAATAAATAAATAAATAAATAAATAAATAAATAAATAAAAAAAATTAGCCACAACCAAACATCTCTATGAGTCAAGACACCATAAAATTTACTTTGCCTGTGGTGACCATTACCGAGTAGGATAATCCACCATGGACATGACTTTGTCTGTGCTTCCCATTATGATAGTTATAATCATTCTGCCTTTAGCGATTGGGTGCTGAAAACTGGCCCCTGTTAACAATTAAATTCAGTGCATTTAACTCATCCAATCAGCAGCAGCAGCAGTATCTTCAACCCCAATGTCTGGCACAAGGAAAAGGGCAACACCAAAGCTCTTCAGTTGTGTTGGTGCCCCTCTCAATCTTATGTGTCTCATAGAATCAGTGAAGGACATGTCTTCTGAGCTTTCCCATGGCAAAGAATTAGGTTTTACACAGCATAACCACGCTACCATTGCAATTTCCCTGAAATTAAAATCCCTCTAGCAACACTAAGCCAAGGGATATTAGGCATCTTCAACTCCTTTTCAGTAGACCATATTTTGATAAATGCTTCAGCCAAAGATTGAAACACAGTCACAACACATTTCAAAAATGTGAAAGCTTCCATACTAAAGCTATACTCTCCAGTCAGTGTTACCATATCCAAAAACTCAGCCTGGCCCAGTTTTATGTTCTGTCCACCATTATCCCACACCCTCAAAATCCATTCCCACACATATTCCCCAGACTTCTGCTGAATGAATTAGCACACTCAACAAGCTCTTTACATGTGTGCACATAAGTGCAGGGCTCCTCCTCATGGACTACATACTCTACCTCCCCTCCTGGAAACTACTTTGTCTGAACTCTGGTTATAGATCTAGAGACAGGTAACACAGCCGCTGAAAAACACTGGATTTGAGAAAGGACTGCTGGATTAGATCAGCATATATTATGTGAGAATCTCAGAATGGAATAAAGGAAATGTGTGGAGTTCAGGGAGATGTTTTGCCTTTGTTTCAACAAGAGAAGAAAAGCTATGAATTCCTTGAAAATTGATGTATACTAGATTTGACCAGGGGAGACCTCCTGAAAATCTTGGCTGCCAAAATGAAGGCAGAAAACAACTGGAACAACAACAACAAAAAAAAAAAAAACCTGAATTCTCATCCCTCTACTTGGAAACAGCTCTAAGCTGGCTGAGTCATGAATGTGTGCTGTCATTATTCAGAGCAACATCTGGCAAGCAGGGATGTCCCACAGATGCAGCAAGAGCAAGCAGAGAAAGAGCAAGCCTTTCCTTCTTCCATGTCTTCATATAGGCTTTCAGTAGAAGGTGCAGCCCAGATTATAAAGGGGGAGGGGCTCCACCTCAAATATTCTGGATTACAGGTGTGTCATCCTACCTCAAAGAAAAAGATCAGAAATTTATCTCTCCACTTCATATTAAGCAAAAATACCTCACAGATGTTGCCCTCTATTTTGGAGTTTTAGTTAATCCCACATGTAGCTGGCATCAAAGAATCAACATCATAGTCCCTGTCAGAGTTCGGGAACAACTCTGGGACTTTGAAACTCTTTTTAGCACCCATGGCTCTGCCTCCCACCTACCCTCTTACAGGGAGTTTCCTTCCCACGGGTGGAAAAGCATGGAAAGTTCTTCTGGATGTAAGTTTGATGAGAGCAGGGTAGCATGAGACCTGAGACCCCTGGAGAAGTGCAGACAGGAAGGAGGCCCTGGGGCAGCTCAGCCAGCCTGGATCCCCTTTACCCTTAGCCTCTGTGGGCTCAGGCTCAGTCCTTTTATTTTCTACCACCAGGGGGCGGTGTTGCTCAAGAATGTGATGCTTATCTTTCATCTGGAATCAAAAACTAACATTACCTCAAGTGCAAAGATGAACACACACTGTATTTTCTTCCTAGGATGAGGCTGTGATCCACTGTGCATCGTAGGTACATAAAATGAAATATATTTTGTATTTTTAATTTTATGGGTTTTTTTGTCTCAGTATGCTCTATTTGAATCATCCCTTCCTATCCTGCTACAGAGCTCTCTTCATTGGCTGGTGGTACAGTATTGTCTAAACAACCTGTGCCCTCAGCTCCTGGCCTCACACTCTAGATGGGGAGGAGAAATAGAGGGAATCGTTGGATCATTTTACAAAGTGTACTGTTTTATTTTATTTTCATGAGATGTACTCATTGTTATACATGAGTATGTAGGTACACTAACATTAGATCCCTCAAGAACTGAAGTTACAGATGGTTGACAGCCCCCATGTGCTGATGGAACTCACCCTGGATCCTCTGCAACAGCAACAAGTGCCCTTAGCTGCTGAGCCATCTCTCCAGACACTATTGGAATTTTTTGTTTTGTTTTGTTGTTTTGTTTTGTTTTGTTTTGTTTTTCGAGACAGGGTTTCTCTGTGTAGCCCTGGCTGTCCTGGAACTCATTCTGTAGACCAGGCTGGCCTCGAACTCAGAAATCTGCCTGCCTCTGCCTCCCAAGTGCTGGGATTACAGGCATGCGCCACCACCGCCCGGCTTGGAATGTTTACATAAGGAAACCACACAGCTTATTCACAGCATGCTGACTGAGAACTGTGAGAGAAACTAGAGGTACAGGAAGAGACAGTGTCAGTGCAGAGCTCAGGAGGGAGGAGTGATGGGGTGAGGCCTGAGGGACAGAGACAGAAAGGGGTGGAGCAGGAGGAGACAGAGGCAAAGGGAGAGATGCTAACTCAGCAGAGTCCCCTGTTTGAGGGTATTTCTGTCAGATTGCACTGGACACATCTCCAAAACCCTGCTGGCATCTTACATTTCATAGTGAATGCTGTGCAGGTTTGAATGAGAACAGCCCCACAGGCTCATAGGAGTGAATACTTCAAATTCAGCTGATGGAACTTTTGGGAAAGGGTTGGGATGTGTGGCATGGTTGGAGAAATGTCACTGGAGCTGGGCAATGAGGTTTTAAAAAGTTCCAGGCTCAGGCACATGTGGTGGACTGTGCAGTTGACTGTGCAGCCATGGAAAGTGGCTTGGGTGAACTTCAATGGCACAGGAGATGGGAAGCTGACCCAGGGGTCATGATTGAGCAGGTGAAAGTGCAGATCACCATAGCCAATGCCCAGGAGCTTCTGAAGAAGATGACTGACAGGTGTTTCAGGAAGTGCATCAGGAAGCCTGGGGCTCCTTGGATAACATGGAGCAGAAATGCATCACCCTGTGCGTGGACTGCTGCATGGACACCTTGAACACTGTGTCCTATGCCTACAACTATCTACTGTAGAGGGAACAAGACAACATGTGACTGAGACCTGTGCCTCAGGACACAGTTCTCAGAAGAGAGCAAAGGCCAGTGTGAGTGCAGGAATCTGGCTGCACCCACTGAGTTGTGACCTCCTGAGAACAGGCCAATAAATCCCTGCTGGGAGAATGGGGGAAGGGGAGACTCCCACTGTTCCCAGAGCCTCTGCCTCTGGTGTGCAGATAGAGATGTGAGCTCACACTGTTCCTCCACCATACCTTTCCTCTGCTATTATGGACTCAAACCCTCTGAGACTAGAGAACAGATTAAACACACAGTTATAAGTTGCTGGGCTCACAGTGTCTTATCATAGCCATAGAAATGTCACTAAAGCCAGGTGTGATGACACAGGTCTTTAATTCCAGCATTCAGGATGCAAAGACAGGTGGATCTCTATGAGTTCAAGGCCAGCCTGGTCTACATGGTGAGTTCCAAGACAGAGCTGTGGAGACAGACCTTATCTCAAAACAGAATAAAATAAGAGGAAATGTAATTAAGACAGATCCTTTCTGTGGAGCTGCCTAAGGCCAGCTGCCTCCTTAGGTTAGTCAGGGTGAAACCTAAGAGCACCAAGTTCCTGGAGAAATAGAGAAGAGATCAGGTCAAACTCCACACAATCAAAACCTGTATAGATTTAATGTTTCCCTACACAACTGATCAGGATGAAACTTCACATCACCAGTGTGTACTCTCTGGCATGAGAATCATCTTTCTTCCAGTGTCCACATGGCGCAGGCCTGAGGAACTCTAGAGCTAACTTGGTTATCAGATCCAGTGTCCCACACACATGTGACACTCATGCCCCTTACCTCATCAGCTCATAAGTGTGAGTGAAGGTCAGAGAGGGAGTGAGAGAGTCACAGACTACATAACTTCTACCACACTATCATCATTATTCTGTGTTATAGTTGGTGATAGTTCCTCTCCTACTGTGATTGAGTCATTAAAACAACTGTACCGTGGAAGTGCAGACACAGGGCAAATGCAGTGTAGACAGTGATCAGTGCCCTGCTGTCTGTGGTCTCCAAGGTGGTCTCTTCCCTGTGCACAAGGGGATCTACTGTGCTGAGACAATGACCCAGGTTCACACAGACAATCTCAGGACCTGGAATGAAGATCCTTGTAAAACACACCCACCTGGATATGCTCCATCTGAAAAGAAACAGGAGGAGTCTGAGTCAAACCTTAGGTAGAGAAGGCAGATCCTGAGGGAAGAGGCAAAGTCTCCTCTTTACAGATGATTGTCCTGCACTCAGGCTTGGCAGTGTAAGCTGCCTACTGCATGTGAACAGAGCCTGATCTCTGTGGGGTCCGTGTGAGGCTTGCAACCCAGAGACTCTTCTTTAAGGAGAAGCATCTCTCCACTGCATCCCCAACCGCTTATGTTAACATTGCATTCCCGGAAGTGGGTTTTCTTCGATTCCGGAGTCTGACTTCTGAATAAAAGAAGGAAGAGGAAGAGTGGAGGAGAAGACACAGAGAGTCTGGCTGCGGGTCTCTCCTGGTGTCCTGACAGCTCCTGGGTCAGAACTCGGAGACACCAAGACAAACAGCGCTCTGTCCACAGCACAGGGTTCAGGCAAAGTCTTAGTCTCCAGGTGGTGAGGTCAGGGGTGGGGAAGCCCAGGGCTGGGGATTCCCCATCTCCCCAGTTTCACTTCTGCTCCTAACCTGGGTCAGGTCCTTCTGCCCGGACACTGATGGCGTGCTGGCAGGTCTCACCCCCCATTGGGTGGGGCGATCCCGGACAACCAATCAGCGCCGCCGAGGGCACTGGTTATAAAGTCCACGCAACCGCAGGACTCAATTACGGATCCCAGATGGGGGCCACAGTGCCCCACACGCTGCTCCTGCTGCTGGCGGCTGCCCTGGCCCCGACCCAGACACATGCGGGTGAGTGCGGGGTCGGGAGGGAAACGGCCTCTGCGGGGAGGGGCGGGGGTAGCACCAGGGAAGCCGCGTCCCTGCGTCGCCCACCGGACCCTCAGCCCCTTCTCCACCCGCGTCCCGAGCCCCGCGCCCTGCTCCCCTTCCGGCCCACGCACCCATCGAGAGGAGGTCGGGGTCTCACCGCGCGCCGCCCCCAGGCTCACATTCCCTGCGGTATTTCAAAACCGCGGTGTCCCGGCCCGGCCTCGGGGAGCCCCGGTACATCACTGTCGGCTACGTGGACAACACGCAGTTCGTACGCTTCGACAGCGATGCGGAGAATCCGAGATACGAGCCGCGCGTGCCGTGGATAGAGCAGGAGGGGCCGGAGTATTGGGAGCAGAACACACAGAAATCCAAGAACAAAGAGCAGATTTACCGAGTGAGCCTTAGGAACACGCTGCGCTACTACAACCAAAGCGAGGGCGGTGAGTGACCCCGGGTCGAAGGTCAGGAGACCGGTTTCCCTTTCAATTTTGAGGAATCCGAAGGGAACAGGGCGAGCGGGGGCAGGGAGGGGGACTGGGCTGACCTCGGGGTCCCGCAGGCTCTCACACAATCCAGCACGTGTCTGGCTGTGACGTGGGGTCGGACGGGCGACTCCTCCGAGGGTACATGCAGTACGCCTACGACGGCCGGGATTACATCTCCCTGAACGAAGACCTGGAAACGTGGACGGCGGCGGACATGGCGGCGCAGATCACAAAACGCAAGTGGGAGCAGACTGGTTTTGCAGAGAGACAGAGGGCCTACCTGGAGGGCACGTGCGTGGAGTGGCTTCGCAAATACCTGAAGCTCGGGAAGGAGACGCTGCTGCGCACAGGTACAGGGACTGCGGGCAGCTCCTCCCTCTGCCCTCGGGCTGGGGCTCAGTCCTGGGGAAGAAGAAACCCTCAGCTGGGGTGATGCCCCTGTCTCAGAGGGGAGAGAGTGTCCCTGGGTCTCCTGATCCTCATCACAGTGACTGCACTGACTCTCCCAGGGTCAGCCTTCTCCCTGGACAGTTCCCAGTCCCAGTCTGTCTCAGGAGTGAAGGAGAGAATTTCCTGACAACAGCAGGAACTCCCTGCTGTCAGCCATGGTCTCTCCCAGACCAAGTTCTTGCCCACACCCACTGTCTGTGGACACTGACTCCTGTCATGCTGAGTGTGTCAGCCCTTAGACCTCAGGACCGGAAGTCTCCTTTACCAGAAAGGAGACATGGACTCCCCTACACTAGGCTGGTTCCCCAGTTTGTAGAACTTTCCAAAGAATACATTCTCGCAGATCTCTCCCTGTCTGTGGGGTCTGCATGCCTTCAACAACCCACTTCTTTCCATTCCTACAGTGGTGAATGGTCACATGAGCCTTTATGGGGTACCCTGGAGGAATATAAATTGTGGAATTTCTTTTTCTTTTTTTTCCCTCTCTTATTTCTTACTTTCTTTTTTCTTTACTTTCTTTTTTTTTTTTAAGGCATTATTTTGCTTCTGGTCAGTTTTTGTCTGCTCTGGAGTGATTCTGTTTCTCCAAGCCGTTATATTATCATTTGTATCAGTCTGCACAGGTGTCAGGGAAGACTGCTAGCCTGGATAATTAGACAAGTTAAACCATGTAAGTTAAGTTGGCTGGGTGATGGTGGTTCACGCCTTTAATCCCAGCACTTGGGAGGCAGAGGCAGTCAGATTTCTGAGTTCAAGGCCAGCCTGATCTACAGAGTGAGTTCCAGGACAGTCAGATAAACCCTGTCTCGAAATTTAAAAAAAAAAAAAAAAAAAAAAAAAAACAAAAACTGTGTGAGTTAAATCTTGTGAGCTTAGATTGTTTCCTGTCAGAACTAAACATCCAGAAGCCTCCTGCTCTTCCTCTGCCCCCAGGTTGCAGTGCTCTCCCTTCTGAATCAGTAATTGAACTTTCTGAGAGAAAGGTCTTCTGCAACCCAGGGCTGGAGTGAGAGGGAAGATCCACACACCCTGTGAGCCTGCTGTGTTCCAGTGAGTGCTGCACTGGGGTCCACAGCACACTCCAGGGGTCCTGTGTAGCACATTTCTATTTTGTCCCCCAGAGGAAGGAGCTAGGAGTCATTTTCTCTGGTTGAGTTTCAGAGGTTTACCACATTTCTGCTACAAACTATGTGATGGCTGTTCACTTGGATTGAGAGTTATGCTGGACAGCAAGAAAACCACAGTGGTTGACTCTTATTGGTGGTGTAGAGTGAAAAATTATAGATACTGGGTATATAGAATTCTTTTTAGACATATAAAGTATTCTTTAGGCTTTCTTTATAAAGACATGGAGAAACCAAGGCATGAAGCAAGTTAGGAATATGGAAAGACCAGTCACCATTACTGGAACTGGCCTATCTGCAAAGAGTTAGGAAAGAATGCAAGTGAACTAGGTGGAATCAAGCTGAGAACCAAGTTGAGAACCAAGTTGGGAACCGCAGTGACAGGGCAAGGCCACAGTGACAGGACAGGACCACATTCTTAAGAAAGATAAGCGTACAGAGAGTTTTCACCAGACCCTGACTCATGTAGGTTGGGTTCCTTTGGAATGTTCCACTATTTTTATGTTATACCACCCTAGCAACCCCCTCCTCATTCCTTGGTTTGTGGTTTTTCCCTTTAAAAACACCTCTCAAACTGGCTGTCGGGGTCAATTCAGCTCCTGCCTGGGCATACGAATTGACCGGCACCTAGTTGTCACGCCCTAATAAACAACCTCGCAATTGCTCCGGTACATGGTGTCTCGAGCAGATTACTGGGTGGTCGCAACTTTCTGAGACTTGAGAGAGGGTCTCCCCTCTGCGAAGGTCTTCAGTGGCACCATTCCAGTAGTATATTCCACTAATTTCTGATTTAGATATGAACTCAAACACATTAATTACTTATTTTCCATTTCATCTTCCATTAAATGACTGCCTACCTCATGCTATCAGGTAAGGAACATCACATAAGGACACCCATGTTAACCCACTGGCTCATGTGGATTCCCTTTTAGCTTCTGAGTCCCCCAGGACAATGTGCCATTCTGTACTGAGGGGACCAGCTCTACCTATTGATCACTATTGTAATGAAAATTGAAGTGTCAGCCGGTGGTGGTGGCCCATGCCTTTAATCCCAGCACTTGGGAGGCAGAGACAGGTTCGATTTCTGAAAAAATCAAAAAAAAAAAAAAAGAAAGGAAGGAAGAAAAAGAGAAAATTGAAGTGTCAAACAGACTTTTTTTTTTTTAGGTTTTGCAAGACAGGGTTTCTCTGTGTAGTCCTGGCTGTCCTGGAACTCACTCTGTAGACCAGGCTGGCCTCGAACTCAGAAATTCGCCTGCCTCTGCCTCCCAAGTGCTGGGATTAAAGGCGTGCGCCACCACTGCCTGGCTAAACAGACATAAAATTAAGTGTCATTATTGATTTAACTATGTGTTGTGTAGATTTTAGCTTGTCCTGTTAATTATGGGATTTCTTGAATCTTCCACACAGATCCCCCAAAGGCACATGTGACCCATCATCCCAGAGCTGAAAGTGATGTCACCCTGAGGTGCTGGGCCCTGGGCTTCTACCCTGCTGACATCACCCTGACCTGGCAGTTGAATGGGGAGGACCTGACCCAGGACATGGAGCTTGTGCAGACCAGGCCTTCAGGGGATGGAACCTTCCAGAAGTGGGCATCTGTGGTGGTGCCTCTTGGGAAGGAGCAGAATTACACATGCCATGTGCAACATGAGGGGCTGTCTCAGCCTCTCACCCTGAGATGGGGTAAGGAGGGTGTGGGTGCAGAGCTGGGGTCAGGGAAAGCTGGAGCTTTCTGCAGACCCTGAGCTGGTCAGTGCTTAGAGCTGGGGTCATGACCTTCACCTTCATTTCCTGTACTTGTCCTTCCCAGAGCCTCCTCCATCCACTGAATCTAACATGGTGATCATTGCTGTTCTGGGTGTCCTTGGTTCTGTGGCCATCATTGCAGCTGTGGTGGCTTTTGTGATGAAGAGGAGTAGAAACACAGGTAGGAAAATGCAGGGTCTGAGTTTTCTCTCAGCTTCCTTTAGAAGTGTGCTCTGCTCATTAATGGGAAACACATCCATACCCTGCATTGCTACTGTCTCCAACTGGGTCTGCTGTCAGTTCTGGGAACTTCCTAGTGTCAAGATCTCCCTTGAACTCTCATAGCTTTTCTTCTCACAGGTGGAAAAGGAGGGAACTATGCTCCAGCTCCAGGTTAGTGTGGGGGGCAGGATTGTCCCGAGGTGATTAGAGTAAAGCTGGGGATGGTTAGTAGTTCTGGCAATCCATAATAGCTCCTCTAGAGAAATCTTCTGGAGGCCTCAGTTCTACCTTGATATTTTTTTAAAGATTTATTTATTATATATGAATACACTGTAGCTATCTTCAGACACACCAGAAGAGGGCATCAGATCTCATTACAGATGGTTATGAGCCACCATGTGGTTGCTGGAATTTGAACTCAGGACCTCTGGAAGTGCAGTCAGTGCTCTTAACCACTGAGCCATCTCTCCAGCCCCCCTACCTTGATATTAATATGTCTATGTGTGTGTTGTGCGTGTGTGTGTGTGTGTGTGTGTGTGTGTGTGCATGTTTTATTTCACCCTAGGCAGGAACAGCTCCCAAAGCTCTGATATGTCTCTCCCAGATTGTAAAAGTAACACTCTGGGTCCTGATTGGGGAGGGACATTGTGGACATGATTGGTTTTAGGAACTCCCAGAATTCCCTATGAGTGGTGGGTTTTTGGGATGTTGACTTCACAACGATGGTTCGTGACTTTCATTCTCTAGCATGAAGACAGCAGCCTGGAGTGGACTGAGTGACAGAGGATGTGTTCAGGTCTCTCCTGTGATGTCGAGAGCCCTCAGTTCTCTTTAGACAACACTGTCTGATGTTCCCTGTGAGCCTGTGGGCTCAATATGAAGAACTGTGGAGCCCAGTCTACCCTTGCACACCAGGACCCTGTCCCTGTACTGCCTGTGTTCCTTTCCACAGCCAACCTTCCTGGTCCAGCCTGGCAGGGGATGGGAAATATCCTGTTAGCTCCATGGTGCCCGAGCTACTACTTCTCACTTCCACGCTGAAAATAAGAATCTGAATGTGAACTCCTTGACCTGACCAGTTCAGTGGTGGGTTAATTAAGGGACTGAGGATACTCAAGAGTATTGTGGAGGAAATAAATGGTAGCATGGAGAACCTTCCAGAATCTGTGTCATTATGCTGTGTGTATATGGTGGGACAGGATGAGGATGAGGGAGCAGATTGTGAACAGGTCTGTGCACAGGTGAAGTTCAGTCCATTGTTATCTAAGTCGGGGTCACCCTTAGCTCTGTCACCTCCAGTCTCTGCTCTCTCCATCACTGTGAATCACATGCTGAAAGTCTGTGATCACAAGGACACAGGATGGCCAGATCCTTGTCCTGTTCCCAAGATTATGAGCAGCCCGGGCTGCTATTCTGACTGTTGCTCTTTACTTTGTCTTCTGTGTATACTTCTTGTATTTTTAGTTTGTATGGAGGACTGGGTCTATTCTTGTTCCTGTGAGTGCTTCCTGTCTTGTTCTCCTCATGGATGCCCAAGTGAGACAGCAGTAGGAGATCTTTTTCCTTTTCTTTCCTTCTTTCTTTCTTCCTTTCTTTCTTTCTTCTTTTTTTAAAGATTCATTTATTTTATTTTATTTTATTTTATTTTATTTTATTTTATTTTATTTTATTTTATTTTATTTTATATACATTTTTGCTGTCTTCAGACAGACCAGAAGAGGGTATCTGATCCCATTACAGATAGTTATGAGTGACTATGTGGTTGCTGGGAATTGAACTCAGGACCTCTGAAAGAGCAGTCAGTAGTCTTAACCCCTGGGCCATCTCTCCAGCCCCCAGGAGGAGTTTTTCACATTCTTGTCCCCACCAGACACAAGGGACCTGCTCTCAGGAGACTGCAGCTACACAGATGAACTAAACTCTTCTGAGCTCCTGCTTCCTTCCATGCTTCTCCATGGAGTTCTCCCCATTTTTCCCATCTTTCCCCATCTACCCCTGGATTGTAGGATCCACACAGAGGAGGGATCCACAGGCTCTCATCTCAGATCTGGTCCTCTGGACCTGTGCTGTGCCCATGGCCCCTCTCCTTCCCTGGCTCTGAGGATCCTGGTGCTGACTCCAGAGAAAAGTCAAGTGTTGATGAAGTGAGTGTATTTTAGATTTATGTTTGTTTTCAAAGCTGTTCCATGTTCTGGAGAGATGGCCCACGGGTTGAGAACACTTGATCCTCTTGTAGAGGACCAAGGTCCCAGCACACACCTGGTGGCTCACAACCAGCCATAGCTCCTGTCCAAGGACATCCAATGCCCTATGGATACCAGGCTCATGCATGGAACAAATACATACAGAAAAAAAAAAACACTCACAGACATAAAATTAACAAATCTTTTTAAAAATACATTGTGAGAGTGTCAGAGATAGAAATTCCTTTGACTACTCTTCCAGGTTCCAGCCTTTGAAGTTTTTTCTTCTAGCTTCGTGGTTTCCAGTCAAGATTTCCAGGAGCCTTAGCTGAGATGTGTGAATACCAACATGTCAATAATCTGTCATGATGCAGCCATCTTCATCTTGTGAAGGATGATGACTTCCCCAGGCCCAGCAGACAAACGTTTATGCACAATATATGTTTTATTAATGAATAAAAAATAGATATGTCATGAATCAAAAACAGAAAGGCAGATGGGAAGAGGGAGGGAGGGCTCTGCTCAGGGGAAATCGCAGGTGACCCTGACCTCAGTGGGAGGGGACAGGACACTGCACTTCACAGGACAGCATTTTCTAGAGGTTGTATTGATAAACAGAGCGTCTGCAGAATTGGAAGGTGACTATAGGACTTTCTCCTCCAGACTGAAACATTCCCTGCTGGAGCCAGTAGGAGGCTAATGAGCCTCAGGAAACACCAGAAGCTACAGACTCACTGAGTTTACACAATGTAACAAGTCCAGAGTTGAACCAGCAGCACTTCCTGAGGGAGAAGGGACTGTTGAGGGGAGCTGTTGGCTGCGGTGCAGGGGACTGCAGTGATGCAGCTGTTGTGAGTGGACATGCACACTGGGCAGGGCTGCTCAGTGATTATCCCCTGACTCACACATGCTCCCATGAGTAACCAGGGAGCTCAAGGTTCACCAAGCTGACCATGGATGGATGCTTTCCTTGGTCCGTTGTCACTGTTTCTGTCTGAGGTGGAGGGAATGCACTCCCCAAGCAGGTAACACAGCTGTGTCCATTGTCATCGACCAACAGTGTCTGTTCCAGATTCGAGACCTAAGCCCTGATTCTAAGATACAGTGCAAAGTAATACAGTGTTATTGGTTTCCTGGAGCAAGCATTGTAGTGGGAAGATGCGTGTGATACAACGTAAGGGGATAAATAAGAACAGGTTGTGTCAGGAGCTGGAGAGCAGAAGGGAAGGCATTCAGAGTGCAGGTTAGAGGAACACAAAGCAGAGAGCTATTGGTTTTTAATTTTTGATTTCCCAAGACAGGATTTCCCTATGTAGCCATGGCTGTCCAGGTCTACTAGGTAGACCAGACTGACCTCAAACATAGATTGGTCAGGCTTTCTCTGCTTCTGCTGGGATTAAAGACCGCACATCCACCACTCTTTGAGCTATTGTTATTTAAGATTGTGTGTGTGTGTGTGTGTGTGTGTGTGTGTAGCCAGGTCTCTGACTTCAGAAGCTGTAGGTTGGGATTTTTCAAAACCTACCTTAATAAGGGTTCTTTAACACTTCAACTTCCCTTCTAGCCCACCCCCAGCCAGAGGTAGTGGAAAAGAAAACTAATAGTGTGAAGGGGGTGTGGTCATGTTTAGAAATAGTTCTTTGGGGCGATTCCAATCTTAGTTGTCAGGATATCAGCAGTTCAGTCCACCAGCAAACTACCAAACAGGAATCAGTAGCAACACTGGGATCAGCAGTGGCTCCTCAATCCAGAGGAAACCACAAGGCTCCACCCAATTGGCACCAGTCAACAGAAGTGGCAAGAAGCCCCCTGTATATCACAAGAAGTTCTTTGGTGCATTTTTCTCTCTACAAAGTGATCAGCAAAGCAGCGCAAGGGGAACCAATGCCAGCACTTTAACAGCACAGACTAGCAAAGCTGTAGCAATGTAAACCAACGCCCGAGCTTTGTCACGCTGCCTGTAGAGTCATATTTATTCTCTCAAAATATCACGTGTCTGCTTCAGCAAAATATCCTCTAACCTGTGTTTCCCCCAGCAAAATATATGGCCTAACTGAGTCTCCAAAGAAAGCAGAAATTTCCACTTCAAGTGGCAAGTGGATCTCTGGAAGTTCAAGACCAACCTATTCTATAGAGTGAGTTCCAGGACAACCTGGGCTACACAGTGTGACTGTATCTCAAAAAAAGTAAAGTAATTTTTAAAAACTCATTTGTATATATTAATTAAAAACACCATGACCAAGGCATCTCATAGAAGATTTTTGGGGAAGGGCTACAGCTCCAAGGGATAAGGGTGTTTCATGGCAGGCAAGGGTTGCAGCAAGCCACAGGCATGGCGGCTGGAGCAGGAAGCTGAGAGCTCACATCTGTAATGGAAAACAGGAAGCAGAGAGAGCAAAGTGGAACTTTTTACTCTCACAAACTTCCCCTAGGATCATACTTCCTCACACAAGGCCACACCTCTTCTTAAACCTTTTTTTTTTTTAATTTATTTATTTATTATATGTAAGTACACTGTAGCTGTCTTTAGACACCCATATGAGGGCACCAGATCTCATTGTAGATGGTTGTGAGCCACCATGTGGTTGCTGGGATTTGAACTCATGACCTCTAGAAGAGCAGTCAGTGCTCTTAACCGCTGAGCCATCTCACCAGCCCCCGCCACACCTCTTCTTAAACCTCAACCTTCCCCTATAGTACCACCAAGTAGGGAACAAAGGCCAACCACCCTAGCCCATGGGGGATACTTCTCACTGGATCCACCTCAGTGGATGTGTTTGTTAGTGTGGGTATGGTCAAGTGAGTGCAGGGATCCTGGAGGTCCAAAGAGGGTATCAGATACCCTGGATATGGTGCTGGAAACTGCACTTGGTTCTCATAGGAGGAAGGTTGCTCTCAGCCCTAAGAGTGCTGTTTTTTTGTTTGGGTTTTGGTTTTGGTTTTTCGAGACAGGGTTTCTCTGTGTAGCCCTGGCTGTCCTGGAACTCACTCTGTAGACCAGGCTGGCCTCAAACTCAGAAATCCACCTGCCTCTGCCTCCCAAGTGCTGGGATTAAAGGCATGCGCCACCACTGCCCGGCCCAGAGTGCTGTTGAAATAGGTGTTCAGTGTGGTGTCAGTCAGAGGGTGACCTTTGAGGAAAGAGTTGAAGATTGTAAGAAAACTTTCCCCAGGGTGCTGAACCTAGTTCCTTCCAAACCATGGATCCTGCAGTGCAGATGTGCTGAGGTAGGAGCATATCTGTGTGCTCTGAGAAGAATAAGGAAACAGATTCCTGGAGCAGAGTCAGGGTCTGTCTACACCATGAGGCCTACAGAATTCTAGAAGTGTCCAACTGTCCTAGAGAAATTTCTTCTGAGTTTAAACATTCTTTCTAGGAGGGATAGGCAACCCATGAGGTGGTAAACAAAAGGTTGTATGTCTGGGAGAACAGCAAGTTGGAAGTGGGGCTAGAGAGATGGCTCAGTGGTTAAGAGCACTGACCACTCTTCCAGAGGTCCTGAGTTCAATTTCCATCAACCACATAGTAGCTCACAGTCATTTGTAATGATATCTGATGCCCTCTCCTGGTGTATCTGAAGAAAGCAAGTAATATAGTGAGCTAAATAAATAAATAAATAAATAAATCTTTTTTAAAGAAAATCAGGGACCGGTGAGATGGCTCAGTGGTTAAGAGCACTGACTGCTCTTCCAGAGGTCATGAATTCAAATCCCAGCAACCACATGGTGGCTCACAACCATCTGTAATGATATCTGATACCCTCTTGTAGGGTGTCTGAAGACAGCTACAGTGTACTTACATATAATAAATAAATAAATAATTTTTAAAAAAGAAAAAAAAGAAAATCAGTACCCTGTTTCTTTGCCAGAAAAACATTCTGAGAAGAGCCAGGGAAACAATTCCATCATGATAACCTAAAGCAAAACAAACAAAAAAAAACTTGGAATAAACCAACGTGGAAATTCCACAGTGAAAACTT